TCCACTTCATGTCCATTTGGTTTTGCCAAAGCCAGGGTTCTTATGACCAGAGACGAATGGGTAGCTGTGCATGGAGATGCCCTTTTGACGCGGTTTGCAGGATTCTTGCCATACAGCTTCTTGCTTGTTAAAAAATTGGTTTCTTATGTTCTTGCTCGGTTTTTGTTAGTAGTTGGTTTCTGTCAACCCAAAATCAGCCCAGGGGTGTTTCTGGATATGAGGCACATTTGTGATGTCCAGATTTGCTTAGGGCAGTACACATTAATGACAGCTAGATGTTTGTGAGTACTTGTTCCAAACAATACACACGTTTGCATTTTTCCATACAATTAGGGCAGCTGAATCGCTTCGGAGCTGTGTCAGTTGCAGCAACTCGTGTCACTTCACACATCCAGTAAATCATCACTCTGGCAGCCACAGCTTTCATGTGTTTCTGGGAGATGCTGCAATGTTGGGTGGTCCCGCCAGCGCATGGCAACTTCGCAGTAAACAGTTTGGTCAATGCTCTTGAAGCGCGCGGGATACCTGCCTACGTAACAAGGTACTTCTTCATTGGTCAGTCCATAGAGCAACACAATTGCTTTTGAAGCAATGCTGAGCAACCGCGGTCTGCGCACCACAACCCGTACTGGCGAAGGAGCTCGGCAAGGTTCCGATCCCTTGAATTCGAGGATTCCGTCAGCTCCAAGAGTGTAGATGCGATTGCGTCAGGTTTGTCTGTTCTTGGCCCTTTGCATGCATTACGCAACCATGGCTGAATACGGGCGCCTCTGAGAAAAAAACGTGTTGAAGAATGTGCGTGTGGCGTGCAATGTTTCTTTTGAGCCCCTGTGTTACGAGGAAGTTCTGACCATCGAATTGGCTTTCCTCTGACCACGCAACGTTGACACTGGAAAACGCTTACCTGCTTTTCAGATCATCGTACGACTGACACTCGTCGAAGGATTTGTTTGTACTCCCCAAAAATTTGACAAAAAGAAGAATTGTCTGATAGATGAAAAGCACACACACAGACCCGGCATTCTAAGATTGCCAAAGCAACCAGGCACATCAAATAGAAGGCATGTATATGTGATGTGTTACAAAATAATCTGGTAATATTTTCTATTTGAAATTGAGTGCCAAGCAGCCTTTTCCTACAATGGCCCCTTGTCCACCATGGCTCTCACAAGGGTTTCTCCCTCAAAGTTAAGAAGAGCATACATTCCAATAATTAACCCTAAGATCAATCCCATTGGGGCCTCGTAAAAATGACTTTCCCAAATAGGTCATGTTTCTGGATATTTTTGTTGTTTTGTTGTGAATATGTTTCTATCTCTATATATGTATTAGATCTATTCATCAACGCTTGCATATTTCCCAGAGATACCATCTGCAGCAAAGAAACAACAGATCGGCGAGGAAAAAGCCATTTGAATGGACCCAAAATGAAATCAAATAGAAAATCCAAAACAAACATTTCAAATAGAAGATGTACCTCACCGGACAGATTTCATATAGAAGATAGTAAATATTAGGCTTTTTAGCGGTTTTTGCAAAAGTAGCTATATAACATAATATAACACCTCTTTTATGCTCCGGCGAAGCCCTCTTCTTCTATTTGAAATTGTTTTTCGCGCGCACCGAAAGCAATTTCAAATAGAACATGGAAATTCTGAATATTCGGGAATTTCTTCTATCTCTGAGTCTTGGATTATATATATATATATATGTGGAAGTTGTCTTCTTCTCGTGGAGGAGGGTCTTACAAATCTGGTCTACAAATGAAAGCTCTTGTTGCCGCTTCTTCCAAAACAACACCAGCTCGAGCGCTTAGTCTACGAAGTTGGTATGTTTAGGAGCCAAGCACCATGTCTGTCCACGTTCTGGAACATTACGTTCTGCTAGCGTCACTGGAGTGGTGCGGACGCGACTGGCTGACAGGCTAAGGAAAAATTTGCGCTGTCCCTGGTGGGGGTGGGTGGGCCTGCACTGGAATGGCTTCGCCACTGTTCCAAGTTCAGGGTTGCAAAAGAACCGTGTTTCTGAAAATATAATATAGTGGCTCAGGTTTTCCTTCCCCAAGCCTGCACTGTTCTCTGATGTCTAAGGGATTTTTGAGCGTTTTGCTGCATGGTCGTGCAACAAATCCTGGAGTTCTCTGCCGTGGCTGCTAAATACCATGGTAGCTGAGCACTGCTGGCCCCAAAGGGCAAATTAGATTATAGAGGCTCACAGTTGCATATATCGTTTATGATGGCTCAGAACCTTTCTGGGAGGAAGGAAAGGCCACAGAAGAAGAAGAAGAAGAAGAAGAAGAAGAAGAAGAAGAAGAAGAAGAAGAAGAAGTGGGGCTGACTCGTGCGGCAGTGAGATCTCTCACGCCGCGGGAAGAGCTGATAAAGCTGCTGGGGCCTCCTTGGTTGCTGGAAGTCTCAATCAGCTCAAGGTCCTTAGGCTTCATGACTCCAGCGCCGTGGCTGAAAGGGCTTTGTTTAAACTAGCCAAGATCAACTCTTCTCACTGCAAGACAGCGGCGTCACTGCTAGCATGCTATTGGAAATCACTTTGGATAGCCCTGTGGATGAAACCAATTTTTGCCAAAGATTCTATTTTCAGGGAGATGAAGCGCCACAGCTCCGAGCATTTGCTTTCAGCTTGGAACTTGTGCAACTGTGGCCGTCTTCCTGCGGCAGCCGCTTCTGGCTGTACAAAAAGAGGAAGGATGCAGGACAGACACAACCAAAGAAACCAGGAACAGAAGTCGAAATTCTTCGTTCGCAGGCGGAAGGCCGGCAGACACTTCTGCTACTGTGATTGGTCTCCGTCGTAGAGATCTACCTCGCCATCAGCTTTTGGCAGAAAACCCAGCAAAGTCGGGGTTGGAGGCGTGCGCTGCAAAGCGCAAGAACGCCGAGTTGGACGCTGAGAACGCAGAAGCCATTGCAAAGCCCTTACAAGCAGTTCCCGGGCAAGCCGGCGGAAGTTTCCTATAAGAACAAATTGACCTATAGGAGATAGCTCTAGCTCTAGCTCCACTAAAGCTAACTGGAGCTAGACGTTAACTATGATGTGATAGCTTGTCTAGACGCGAAGCTAATTATATAGTTCAAATTTGTCAACGTCTCAAAACACGTGTTTTGAGGTCTCCAGAAAGTAATCGAAATGACCACTTTTGAGTAAGCAAAGCAGCTAAAATTTGTCAACCTCTCAAGAGAGCCGGGTGGTCGGGAGACATGACTCAGCTGCAGGGGCACCAGAGCAGCCGCGAGAGATGACTCAGCCGCGTACTAAAGTTGTACTACCAAGTTGCCAGTTCTCAGCTTCCAGCTCCATAGATTGCTCCGCGTACTAAAGTTGTACTACAAAGTCGCCAGTTCTCATCTTCCAGCTCCCCAGATACTCCGCGTACTAAAGTTGTACCACAAAGTCGCCAGATCTCATCTTCCAGTTCCCCAGATACTCCGCGCACTAAAGTTGTACTACAAAGTCGCCAGTTCTCAGCTTCCAGCTCCACAGATTGCTCCGCGTACTAAAGTTGTACTACAAAGTCGCCAGTTCTCATCTTCCAGCTCCCCAGATACTCCGCGCACTAAAGTTGCACTACAAAGTCGCCAGTTCTCATCTTCCAGCTCCTCAGATACTCCGCGTACTAAAGTTGTACTACAAAGTCGCCAGTTCTCACAAGGAGCTGAACATAATGGCGGAGAACTTCACTGTAAATTGCATCCATTAAACCAGGGACGTGTTCCCAACCCTGATTGTCATTGCATGTTGTGCAGGCATGAGAAGCAGGACAACGCACAGAAGAACAAATAGCTGGCCTGGAACAATGGCTTCAACAAAAATGCGGCAATGACAAAGCGCAGCAACGAGTTTGGAAACGTGTTCTTAATCAAATGACATCCCAGCTAGGTTTGCATGCTGTAGCTGAGGTTCTGTTGTGTTTGATGCTATTTTGATTCCATGAACAAACTCTCTTGATAACGTCCATTGGGTTGCAACATCACGTGTACCGTGTACTAGTAGCAGGTTTCTCATGGTCAAGTTTCATGTCGTTTTGAGGTGGGTATCCCATGCTTGTGCAAATGCTACCAGTCTAGATTCCTTGGAAACCGTGGATGCAACCATGAGCCATGCCAAAGTGAGGCGTTGCAGTGAGAATGCTTTTAGCTGGAGTAGGCTGCCCTTTGTGCTTTGCCAGCACTTTGCGCGAAGGGAACCTCAACGTGAGACTTAAGAAGGGCTCACTTCGTAGCCAATCACGAGGGCGATTCCTTGGCTGCGACGCAAGACAGATCACCGTCAAGCTTTGCTATTCTGTTGAAGCATGACCGCAAGAGAGCAGATGAGCCAAAACAATTCGAATGGTGCGAAGAAATGTCCGCCAGCTAGCAGCTACTAGCTGACTAGCCTAAAGCCTCAAACCCAACGAAATATTGCAACAGTTTAAAAGGCTTACAGCAAGCAGAATCCACAATACCAAGTCTCAAAGTCCTTCAGTTGCTTGCGAGCGTACCAGCAAATCTCTTTTTTCCCCAAACAGTTTACTGTTGGAGTTCTATCTTAGAAAAAAAGAGCTGGCCACACTCACTGGCCGCGCCCCTGAACTCTGTGGCTGGGCTCTGTGGCTGGGCTCTGTGTCCAGGCCTTGTCCTCCTCTTGTGCTCTGTGGCTGGGCTCTGTGGCTGGGCTCTGTGTCCAGGCCTTGTCCTCCTCTTGTCCTCTGTGGCTGAGCTCCGTGGCTGGGCCTTGTCCTCCTCTTGTCGTTGTCTTGGCCGCGCCCCTGAACTCTGTGGCTGGTATCTGTGGCCCGGTTTACTGGAGAGGAGTGTGGCCGAACAAATAGCGATGTCAACGCCGACAAAAAATTCATTGATGAGGGAGTTTGCTCTTGGGGTGAAGGTAGGGCGTGCCAAGAAATCGTTTTTGACTCATATTGGTCTAAACGAAGACTGTTGAAACTGTTTGGGGTCTATGCTGGTGTAATGGTTTATTTCAGATTGAGCTTGTATTCCCAGGTCCGGAACAAGAAGAAGGCGGCGGAGGAGGCAAACTTGCTGAAGTTGTTGAAGTGTGTTTGCCAAAGAACCAGAGAGGAACAATGAAGCAGTGGAGGTTGTGCACATGCTTGTACTTATGCCGGTCAAGAATATGGAAATGCATCTCCAGCCACTGGTAAAGAACAAACCAATGAAAAGTACTACGGAGCAAGGACGCTACTAGGCACTCCTGGCCTTACTACTGGGAACAAGGACGCTACTAGGGGCTCCTGGCACCTACTAGTAACAAAAAACTACTAGGGGCTCCTAGCCTTACTACTAGGAAACTCGGCGGTGCAGCTGTGAAGGTTGGTTTTCATACCGTTGACATTGTTCTCCCAGAGACCGTCTCCCAGGAGGAGCGCTAGCTCCACTGTGCACGCATGTCCTTTGATTGAACGCTTTGTAATCTGTAAACTCTTGCATCCAATTCTGAGATCTTGCAGCTCACAGCTGATTGCTTGATTGGTTGACCGAAATTTGAACATGACCACCTGCTACTGTTTTGAAGCCTCCCTTGAGAATCCAGAGTCTGACGGTTATATAGTCAATGGGAAATGGACCCCGACTGTTGAGACCAGCATCGATCGCTGTGAGTACTCCGCAAAAAGCTTGGTAGGCGGGAAGAGCTCAAATTCTGAAAGAAGCAAGCGGATTCGTCATCGTCGCAATGGACTTGCACACAGTTGATAGCGCAGGATTTGCTGTTTGAGCTAGAGAAGCTGAATAGCGATCTCAAGGTGCAGAATTGATTCTGGGCAGTGCTTGATCGCGACACTTGCACGACTTGTTTGAAAAGTGCGTGTGGGTGTGTATGTATGTAATGTGACGCAATGCAATGTAATGTAAGAAACGTTTCCGGACAAAGGAGGGATAGTGCATTATCTTTACTACGTCAGCAGTACGTTGTACGAACCCAAAAGAAAACTTAATCTGTTTGATATACTTGATTTGGTCATTTGTGGACACATGCATTTGATACCATCCTGTAACGAGTGAGCCGCCACAGTTCCACAATGATGTCCAGGACACTGAGCAAAGCCATATCTTTTATCTTACGTTGTATATAAGTACCTTTAAAGCGTGCAATTTTGGGACCAAGTTGTCAAGGGACCATCCGTTCGCGTAAAGTCGTCCCACCTCTCTACCCCCCCTAAACTCACGCAATCCATCCATAGATTGCGGCAGCTTTTTCACCAGCTGCCAATTTTGCACAGCCTACGTTTGTTTCAACACAATTTGAGTTTTACTATTGACGACTTTGACGCAATGCTGTTTGCCTCCGTCTTGGTCTTTGCAGTTGCTTCGAGACCAAAACCACCTGTCTCAGTGTATGTGCAAGTTCAGACTGCTCGATTCCAGCACCGCATTAAAGCGCATCATTTTCGAAGCCAACCATGGGTGAGTCGCAAGACTGAGTTGAACGCAGAAACCCCGTGGTCAAAAGATGAGAGTGCCATCAGCTGCTTCATGTCATGTGAAACGTGAGGCGAAACGTTGACGAGTTTTGCTTCTTGTCTCCACGATTTCTTTTGGGCTGACAGCTGTATAAATAAAGGTATGGTATGGTATACAGTAATTGTATGATATTGTCAATGTAATGCTATGCTATGCTATGCTAGGCTATGTATGGATGGGTGGATTTTACTTGGAGGGGCTTTTGCATCTGCATGTTCGAGGGCTCATTGGCCGGTGGCAGATTCGCCATCAGAAGAAGTCCACCTCCATCGTCTCTTCTTCTTCGACCCCTACGTCGACTGGAGTGTCATGCTCTCTGGCTTCTTCTTTTGCATGGTCTTCAGGTGCTAGGTTGCCAGGTTCAGGTAAGGCCATGGTGTCAGTGCTGTCAACTGGTGTGGCCTCAAATTGGAGCTGCCTGGGAGACATCCATTCATTTCTACAGATGTGTGTGGACAAAGGTGTGGCTCTCTCTATGGACCCCTTATCACAGGCCTATGGACGGTCCTATCATAGGACTTTGCCAGGCTAGGCCTATCAGCCTATGGAGGGCCTATCGTAACGCATGAAGGTTGCTGAAATTTTGCGGTGCCTCTCTTTTCAAGGCGGTGGTCTGTCAGTTTGCTGTTGAGTAGAACATGTTTCACGAAGATCGAAGGGGGATCAAATCCGCTCTATCTGCTTCGGAGAGGGTCAGGGAAGGGCGCAACGCATCCCTTCAAAATGACTGTCCAGGAAATCATGTTTCTTTGATTCAGTCCTTCTTCCTAACTTTCACGGGCACGGGTGGGGATGATTGGACAAAAAGCGACGAGGGGTCAACGCTTGGAGCCCGGGTGGAACCAGGATGGCAATGAAGTCCCGAGGGGTACCCCAGCACAGGGCCTATCATTGGCTCGAGATCATAGGCGCTGGCCCGGCCTGGTCGGCCGATGGTGAATATGATACACGCGGCTCTCGACCAGCTCCTGGAAGATTACTTGAGACTTTGTTTCGTTCCTTTTGATGCTTCGAGCAGGTGCACGCGATCCTTGTGCAGCTCCCCTTGCCAAAACACATCGATGAGGCATTTGTCCTCAGCAAGATCCGGGTGGACAAGGAGCGGCCAATTTTGTTCCAATCTCTTTGTCGTGTGAAAACATCCATTCACTTTGAGTCTCTGGCTTGGTTTGCGAAGTGTTTGCGCATTCTAGTCTTCTTACCTTGCATTTCTTGCGAACTTGTTTGACGAAACTGATTAGTAAACTGCAGGGCCAGAAAGCTTTCACACAATGTAGAGAATCAGCGATGTTTTGGTAAAGGGTTGTTCGTTTTTGCTGCTTCTCTTTTTTCGTTGTCTCTGGTGAGGTCAGAAGGAACTTGGCTAGGGTTGCTGTTTGGAACCTGGGTCGGCTTATATTTTCAATAAAGGGGAGCTGAACACCTTCTCTGTCAGTTGATTTCTTTTGACATCTGCCTCACTCGAATGACCTGTTTCTTTTTATGGCCCCGCAAGGTGAGCTCACAGAGCTGATTCAATTCCCGCTTTGTCTGAACGGTGCGGGAGTTTCCACAGATCAGATCACCATGCAGAGAATACACACTTTAACACGGGAGAATAGAGTTCACCAGCAGATGATACACAATACATTGGCACCAAGCATTCCAAATCACCGTTCGACCACAGACCACCAACGCAACTCCTTATGTCACCAAATGTTTGCAGGTCATTGACGTAGATCATCACGTATGACCACAGATCACTGCGGATTAGCAGAAACCTCGACAGCAGCAAATCATGGCAAATCAAAGGAGAACATTTCCAAGTAACAACTGATCATTGTAACTCACTATATTTCACTACAAACAAGTACAGTAAGCGTGGCCATCTATTATGACAAATCATTCTTTCTACCAAGAAGCCACATATTTTTGCCAACCAGGTCATAGTGCTATACTTACTTGGTGGTTTGTTTGTGGGGGAAGAAGGTTTGCTGGCCTTACATCGGCTGGTGAAGTGATGATACTCAGGTAATTAGGTGTGGAATACGCCTGAGAACATTTATTCAGACTGCTGTCTGGGCGGTTTTCTTTGCTTACGCTCTTTGCTCGTTGCTGGTATAGTCTTTTGTCCTAAAATGGCTGCGTTGTCCCAGTTTGGCTTTCGAAGCGAGGGTGAAGTGCGGGTTTTGTTGCAGGTTCTTTTGAGAGCTGCCCAGGCTCGTGTAAAGTGTTGACAATAGTCCCAGCAGTCCAGCCTGGTAGCGTCAAAGAATGCAGATAATGGCGGCTTTGCATCCTTTTTGTCGTTTTTGTTTTGCTAAGGACTAGGAGATAGCATAAGAATGCGTAAGATGTTTTTGCAGTGCCCTGCAGCAGCACCAAGACCCAAGGCTCCAAAGTGCACACGCGGGCCATACACATCCAGCAACGGCACCCTCTAGTTGCACCCTAGCACCCATGCTCCAGGCGCACACGCACCTTCTCCTTTACTTAAAGTAAGAACCTGAATAGCTCTCGCTATCTGGGGAATGACAAACCATGAAAGAAGCGGGAACATCATTTTTTGTGGCAGCCACGCCTCCAGCCCATTCTCTGACCCCCAGCTTCTGACAGTCTATACGGTTCTCTGGCTCTTGTCCCTTGCCATTCCCAAGTAGAGAAAGGGGAGCTTGAGGTTGCGGAAAGTGACCGCGTAGCGAAAGGACTGTTGCAGAGAAGTATACTGTACGGAACCCGGTTCGTTTTGGGACGCGGGATTAATGAGTAGGTGGTGGCAAGCTGCCCAAGATCCACGGAACGTCGGCAAGTTGGTGGCCGGTCCTGCAAAAAATCAGCAGGTGGACCTGCAGAAACCTGGTGCTGAACTTGAGTTAAAGGATGATGAAAACTGTTCGCTCTCTGCAGTGGAGGTCTCACCTTGTGAGGCAAAACTTGTGCTAGCGATTGTTTTGTGCGTTCCTGTAAGGGACTTGGGGGCTTGCGTTGCCATTATCTGACTGGAGCCCTTTGCCATTGGAATCGTTCTTTTAAGTTATTTGTTTAGTTTAGCATTTCCCCTGTGTGCCCTTTCAGCCCCCATCACATTTGGGCTGCAATAGGCATGAATGATTGTTAGTGCCCATTTCTTCTGCTACACTCAGCAGGATGCAGATGGCTTCTCAGCAGAGAATGTTGCTTGGTTGCAACAAGCTTGACATTGTCAGCGGAATGAACAGGTTCGGTGTATCCAAAGAATCGCGCAGCTGATTTGGCAAGAAGCAAACCGGAACCCTTATCTGTTCACCTCGGCCTGGGACACAGTGGGAATTAATGACAGGTTGTGTCGCTTAGCCGCTTAGCTTCGGAGTGTTCAATTGTCCTGTTTGTGGTTAGGTAGTGCCATTGTGTCAGGTGGGGAACCTTTGCATGAAAGGTGGGTTTCCACCGCTGGCAGCCTTGAGCTTAGCTTGCAGGTGCTTTGCTTCAGTTTTTTCTTTCGAAGTGCAACGACAACCGCCCGAACTGCAGTATGTTCACGAGCATGTGGGTGAACTGAGGAAATGGTTAGCGCCTGACAAAACGACGTAGAAAACAGATCACTCTGGATGACACGCACTAAACAAGAACTGTACCTGAAACAGTTGGGCCCCAGCTTTTAGCCAAAATCGGTGCTCTTGGCTTCGCTTTACATGGTAGCGGAGCCGTGCGCTGCACACGCCACTTGCACTACGAGCACTACGGCGTTCTCGACCCAAGCCACAGGTTTCCTTCCCCTCTCCAGTACGAAGGGTGAAGCAGGGCCAGCTTGACCGCTCTTCACCCACTTGACCTTGCCCATCTGTGTCCAGCGTGAAAATACTTCTTCTTCTGCGTGGAACTCCTTGCCAGTCTGCTGCCTCTTTGATATTGATTGATCCAGGGGTCCAGCCCCTCCAGCAAGGCAAGCTAGCGCCAGCAGTTCGCGCAGGGAAACATGCAATAGTGGTGGTATTGTGGTGTCAGGAGCCACGCAGGGGATGGCAGTTCGTCTCTACAGCGCTCACCCATTGAAGTTGGTGAGGCATGTGAAAGGACAAGCTTGGCATTGTTGTGGATTGGAGATACAACAGACTATGAGGCTTGGAAGAACAAGATCATGCAGTTGGAGTCGCTGGCTTTCACGGATGGGGTGACAGTGGCAATAGTTCTACGTTGCCTACAAGAAGCAGCATGGACGAGGCCACGTTGGCAAGTTGAGTGACAAAGGGAAGAGAGGAGGAAAGTCCAAAGGAGAGGATGCAAAAGGCAAGAGCAAAGGAAAGACGGAGGAAGTTGGAAAGGCAGAAGGCCCAAGGAAGAAAGGAAAACTTGAGAAGGAGAAAGGCGCTTGTGACATTTGTGGGGCGCGACAAGGATTGCTGGGAGAGAGTTCAGCAAGTCGAGGAGCCTCAGAATCCAGGTCATCCTCAAGTTCAGTACGAAGATGGTGAGGCTTAAAAACTATGCCAGAGGAGAGTGGGGCCAAGAGAGCGCGAAGGTGAGAAAGTGATGATGACGCCAGATCAACGGTGTGGGAGAGGGGAAAAAGGTGTGATCACCGCGTTGGTAGGCTTGGAACAGAGGCATCGAAGATGGTTGGCGCCAAGGAAAGAAAATCTCGCGCCGCGTCAAAAGCCATGATCGAAAGGATGTGGCGCTCATTGAAGAATTTGCTTTAGGAAATGTCCAGTCCCATCATCTGCGCAGCTTCGCGGAGGATGGAGCATTCTTTGGAGGTGAAGAAGGTGGTGTGCGGCTATGCCACAATGAGCGAGGCATCGAGATTCCTATCAGCAATGAACGGAATTGTCTTTGGACTGAGGCCCTGAGGCCAGAAGCTACAACGTTGAGGCTGCGAACAAGAAGGAAGAAAGAGAAGTTATGATTGAAGAGCAGCAGGAAGAGTGATGGTGCTGACAAAGTACCTCACTTGAGTTCATTCTGGGATGGCATAGATAGCAAAGGTGTCATGGCGCACAGTAACAGCGTTGAAGGTGACTGGAGAGGTGTGGAGGCACTTTGAGAAGGTGGAAAACTACAAAGCTTTGGGAAACCTTTTCCCACCGCATCGACTAAAGACTAAAGGACCACCCAACCCAGAAGTTCGGGGTTTCCATATCTTGAGCCCACAGGTGAAGTCTGGTTGGATGAGGAGGATGAAGATGAACAAGCGCAGGAGAAGTATGAAGCTCAAGACATTAAGACATTGAGAATCTGGCGGGGGCTGAGATGAGACGGTTTTCAAAGGGGACAACACGTTGAAGGAGTGCAAAGAAAGAGGATTGGCCAACGCCGGAAGCAAGAAACGGGTTTTGGCTCAACTGGTTGCAAGCGACTGGAGATGGAAAACAAGTTCCAGCTCAATATTGTGAAAAAGCTTTTCAATGAGCAGCTGAGACAAGCCATTAGGGCAGCCAAACTGCACTTCACCACGCATTGGGTTTATGCCCCATCATGGTGTCAGGTATGCGTAGCGTCGAGAAGAAGCCAGATCTGGGCAAAGCTGTGAAGCAGGCGTTGAAGGACGAACACAGTTCAAGACAGAGTGCAAGAGAGGCAAGATCAGTTCGGGACTTGTCTGATGTCTTGCTCAAAAGCCAAGGCAGTGCACGTGATACCAGTGCCAACTAAAGGGACAGCCCTCGCCGGTAGGATGGTTTCGGAGGCTGGTGGCCAGACAGCGCAAAGTGACAGTGGAGACGGAACAGACATTTGCGCCAACACCCCTCCAAAGATGTATGTATGCCCTACCTTCGTGGCCATGACTCTGGACATCAAAGATGCGCTTCTTATGTCACAGCAGCCAGACTCAGAACGTGCTTCTGCGTCGCAATGGTTCCAGATGTTCGCAGGAGGTTGCAAAGAGTTGGCCTAGAACAAGGCATTATGCAGCCAAGGCTGTTCGCGAAACTCGGATTGATGTTCTTGACAGTTTATGTTGGCGATGTCTTCATGCTTGGAAGAGACGAAACCCTCGAAGCGTTTGTGAAGTTCTTGAAGGACAGGGCAAGGTGGAAGATCAAAGAGAAGGGTCCGTTTGGTACAGGAGCTAGACAGGGTCTTCTACTTGAAGAGTCAGTCTCTTCTGGCAAGAGGCTATTGTGACATTAGATCATTAGGTGTGACAGGAAGCAGTTCTATTGAGCCGCAGAAGGGGCAGAACCTCCAGAGCGCAAACAACAAAGAGATTGCCGCTGGGACCGCGCTCGACCTTCAATTAAGTTGACCATCCATACTCAGCGTCTGTCGCTACTTCAACAAGGTGTTGTGGTGCCTTTTCTCTTCAGTCCGCGCATTCATCGCTGACATACCCTTCTTACCTGTGCCGACCCTTGCTCCGAAGTCATTCTTCCACACGTTCTGAGTTGATTCTGACATGTTCCTTGTTTGAGTTGGAAACTGGGCGTTGCCGTACACATCAGGCTTCCAACCGCCCTTCTGTATTTTGCCGCTGTATCTTGTCGCGTTTTCTCCTGCTAGCTTGGTTGACGCGTTGCTCTTTGCAAAATTCTGGTCCACTGGCCACTTCGCGTCTTTCTGCATGCCTTGTTGAAATCAGAGTTCCCTGTAGCTGGAAGATGACTTGCTGATCAATGTCAAGCACTCGTGGAGCGTGATGGCCAGAGGAAAGTGCACGATGAAGGTCAGATCAGACGGTTCAGCAGGAAGGGCGACGGTGCAGAGACAACAAACAACTGTGGCGCCCCAATCCATCGTTGCCATGATTACAAGAAAAAGACTGCTGGTGATGCTCTCCACCTTTCTCTCCGCCACAGGCTCACAGCCAGGCCAGAAATTATTTGGGCCTGTGTCTGGAGCCGGGAGAGTCCCAGCCCTGGTCTCCTTTATGGAGGCCGCTCTGGAACTCCTCCCCGTTTGCGCTGTGGCCTTGGGGTGCACGGTCTCTTGGACAGGATGATGTCATGAAGAGAGAGAGAGAGAGAGTGTGTGTGCATTCTTTTCGTCTGCAGGACTACACCCTCGCCAACCTCAACAAAGCATGGGGAGATTGACGTGGCCTCGTGGATGAGATCCAGGTGATGAGGAGGACGTTCGAGGGTTGCTCAAGAGTGGGTGACCCCTTTTCAAGTCTTTGTGTTTGGTCGGCCACTCCACGAAGAAGAGCTGGAAGCAGCTGCAGAGGGGGTTGCTTAGAGCCGCTCTGTTGCTAAGAGTGCGCAAACTCGATCCAGCTCAGCGAGCTTCCATGCAAGAGGCCAAGATGATGGCTGAAGTGGGTCAGCTGTCTGTCGATGCTTTCGCCGTGTGATCCCGTCGCCGCCTTTCGCTGGTTGGCGTGAGGGAATACTCCCCCTCCTTCATTCTCAGCTGGAGGACTACCCGTTCACGCTCGCCGCGACGCGGGGTTTATGGCGGAGGGCAGGATATGTTGCGAACCCAGCCATACCACTGAAATCAGTGACTGTCCTACGCTTGACCCTGCTTGCAAGCGCGTGGCTGCGTTGACTGAGGGAAGGAAAGAAGCAGGCTGACCTTCGCTTCTTGTGGGCGCAGCCACTCACGCTCGAACCGGTGGTTTTGCAAGTGGTTCTCAGCAAGTGGTTTTGCGCACCTGGTGTGCTTGAGAACCACATGTAAGCGCACAATGTTTCGTCTCAACTGTTTTGGAGGTCTTTGGCTGGCTTGATGTGCAATGGTTTTTGCGTGACTATTGTCTCGCGACTTTGATCTCCGCTGGATGTGAAATCCTGTACCTTTACTTTTGCGCGTTTTCGCCATCGCTCCCACCCCTGGCTTTTTCGACTCCCCTTCGGACGCCACCTCCTTTTCCAAGACATTGTTTTTCAACATGTCTTCTGACCTGAAGCTGCATCTCCTCCTCAGGCCGCGCGTTTTCATCTCAACTCTTTGAAGCAGACGATGGTTAATCGGACGTTGATCCAGCTGCTCTTTGCTGGGCCATAGGTTGTAGACAGGGCGATTGAAGGATTTGGTTCGGTTTGCCGTTGTACTTCCTTTCTTCCTTTTGCTTTCTGTAAAGTTATACAGTACATGTTTTTGTCAATGCCACTCATGAACTTTTGAACACCCATGAGCCTATGATGGAAGAATGTTGCTGACCTGCGATTGCAATGTATCGCTCACATTGTTTGTTCCAAACGCCAAGTGGACCAAGGTTCCTTGCACTCCAGCAGGGTGCGTTGAGCTACTGCAGCGGAGTGGCGTCGAGGTGTCAGGCAAGAATGCAGTTGTGGTGGGCAGGCGCGGTATTTGCCCAACAAAGAGATTACAAAAGGAGGATCTTTTGCGTCTCTTTCGGTTGCAATACTTGTTCTATCGTAGTAACATGTAGTCAAATCAAAACCAGGCTTTTGTTTTTTGCATTTCTCTTGGTAATCTTGCTAGTCTGAACACTCGTCCTCCTTTGTTCTTTGACAAAATTTTGCGCTCTCCTGTAAAGACTCTTTTCAAAGTCCTTTCTTTAGTTCTTGTATCCTTGTGTTTTCATGTTCATCGAAGGTCGAATATTGTGGGGATGCCAGTGTCGCAGATCTTGCAATCTATGGATGCTACCGTGACCGTTTGCCACTCTCGCACACAAGACATGGTTTCCTACCTCCGCAATGCTGACGTCGTTGCTTGGCCAAGATAGACTATTACCTGAATCCATATTGTTGCAAGATATATATAGTGGCAAACAACCACGTAGAACATCATTTGGATTCTTATTTTTTATTTGTTCTAGCGCCAGACTAAGAACTAAAGGTAAGAACGAAAAACCACACATTTAGAACCACATACTAAGAACATGTGTGGATTGCAAGCGCCATGTTTATACTTGGAGGGCGGTACATATGCACCATGATGTTCTAAGCATGTGCGCGCTGCTGCTGGTCCACAGCTGTTGGCTTTGAACACGCTGTCCATGTGTGCATACATATGCGTACACACATCATACACACATACTCAATTTCACAATCCTCCACAATACGCATGGCGTATGCATTTTTTTTACATGTGTTTATTGTATCCTGCTGTAGAGCCAAGAGCAATGGCGGAATCCACTACACAACGTGGGGAATTTCCAGAAGGAGTTCAGGAGCACCAATATGGGTTTTTGGTGCGGACGACGGACCCCTTCATCCACAAGTTGCTCTTCTCCGAATACCCTAATCGTGATCTTGCGAAGCAGGCTGCACTAACATGCGTGGAAAGAATATTCCTGCGCGATCGACCCATCTGGATGAGCGTTCACAGTAGCAAGAGCCATTCTCTTAGAACATTTGATATCTATCTCTACATATTTGTATATGTATATCATATACACATCGCTTTGGTAAACTCACAGACTGGATGTCTTTGTAACGTCCTCCATGAGGATCTACTGCGCAGTTTTTGAAGAAGCTCGTAGTTCTCCGTGCCGAGGTTCTGGTGTTCCGTGCTGTCATGATTATACTCCACTCATTTCTATTATCTATATACATAAAATTGCACAGAGATGTGATATAGGTGTTCTTTCTCAGCATTCAGCGGAGGGCCAAGCAACATGCAAGAACAGTCTGCGTCTGCCCATCGGGCAGGCAATACCATTTGTGGGGGGGACACCCCTTGAAGAAAAAAGTTTTGCAGCAGACTTGGGTGTGTTCCACTATCTCGAGAGTTTGGCACGCGACTTTGGTATGTTCTAAGCGCAGGCTCTCCATATGGATTTTATCATCATTGAGGCAACACTACACGTCTTTAAGCCCAATCTTTGTGTGTTCTAAGTGATGGGTGGATATGTTCTTGCCGGTGCTGGTTGGATATGCTCTTAGTGTGTAATGTAAGTTTTTGTTCTAACACCGTGCCCGTTTTTTGTTCTAAGTCATGGTGTGTCGTCGTTTGGAAAAACTATGTTGTAAGAGTTTGTCCGTCACTATAAGATATAAATAAATAAATAAATATACATATAATATACCACACCATTAGCTTGCATGACTAATATCTACCTGCCACAATATGTTATCCTGGATGGAATTGTTTTGCCATAGGCGATATCATACGCTTCTTCTTGGATTGAGGTCATTGCGGCAGTCGGCAAGGCTGAGTATGTCCGCGGCAGCCTCGGCTTGCGCTGGAGCGACGCACGTGAACAAATGCCAGGACATATCTCATCCTTGTCTCATTGTGGCAAGAAAAGACAAAGCAAATCCAAACAACATTCGGTGTAGACAGTAGTTGTACTTGCATTTTAGGACGCTTGATTTGTTCTGAGGCGGTGATTGGCTAAAGCCAGGGTGTGTGGTGATCGATGTGGGTATCAATGCAGCCACTCAACCAACACTTAAAGCAATAGATCGTGCTGACGCTTGACAACTGTTTGGCCATACCAATTCAACCGGGTTGCGCTTTTGCCCCAATACGCTGTTTACTGTAGGTTGACGATGCCAGCAAAAAGCTTGGGTACCGCTTGGTCTGGGGAGCCCAGAGCAAATTCAAAGTCTGAATGCAGATTGCTTAAGCTTTGGCAATTCTATTCATGTTTGAATGTCCGATTGCTTGGATTTGACAACCTTTGCCAAGGTAGGTGATGTGAACTTTGCCGAGGCGCAAGGTGTCACTCAGAAGACCTGGCAATGCTGTGAGTCTGAGGTTGAATCTCCGCCAGTTCCAATTTTTGCGACGAAATCGTTAAATAGTCACTGTTCGCTGCTCAGAAAAGCTGTTTGCGGATTTAGCCAAGGTTGCCGCCCAAATTACCCCTGTGCCTGGTGGTGTGGGCCCTATGACCATTGCCTACTACTCAGCAGGCAGCGGGGCAAGCCCATGAAAAGGACTGCGTCGCACGATCTGGAAGAACGCAGTCTGCCGGATGTTTTTGCCCCAAGGCCATGCTTCTGAAGAACACTTTGAACTTGGCACGGCGCAGCTTGCAACTGCCACGCATTCCACTGCGCCGTTCCACATCTCCAGCAGCGCCTGGAGCGGTGTCAGCGCAGGTCGAGCGTGGAATGTTTTGAACAGGCAAATTTGCAGAAACACATTCGGATTGTCAGGGTATCCAGCTACCAAAAGAGCATTTGGCTGTGGTCATTTGCTGCAAGGAGATACTGATTGCCTTTTGGAATTTCTGAGATCCCTGCATTCTTCAAAAAGCTTGGATTTGCTCCTCGAAGAAGCAATATTTCAAGAAAAACATGGGTAAACCTCAACAATTAACCTTTGATGCTCATCAATTTTTTGGGGGTTTTGGTTAGCAACCAAGACTAGCGGCTAATGCCAACTGATGTTCAAGCCGACAACTCACCAGCTTTGAGCTTCCTAGGCCTTTTCCACGTTTTGCTTTGTGCAGGATGCAGATACCATTTGGAAGGCCGCAGAGCTGGCTAAACCGGTTCGGAGCAGGGTGCAGGACGACCTTTCGTTTCAATGCTGCAATACTGCAACCTCGCAGAACAGTGCAGCCCTTGGAGCACAAGCAAAGCGTGTGGTTGTGTGGAGTGGGCGTCGCCAGAACCATGTGGGGTCTGCCCATCAGTTTCCTCAGACCACCCTTGCCCCCCAGCAAACATATGCAAACAGACACAGACACGCTTAAGAAAGAGCTCATAAGAGTTACCGTAAAATTCAGGGCGGTACCAAGCACGCGCTAGCGCTTTACGACTTAGTTACTGCATTAGCCGACTAGAACAGGAAGACCTCAAGCTGTCAATGGCCATATGCAAACCGTAAGGTGAAGGAGTCCGCACCAATATAAACATTCCTTGACTGCAGGTACGTCACCGTGATCAGCGGTGATATCCGCATGCACTGTGATCGCTTCGTTGGACCATCGCTCACAGCATATAGATGGTCCCCCTGCGCTGGCATCTCTGCAATGAACTGACGGCGGACTAAAGGAATCTATCCTGGATAGAAAATGAGCACTGTGGAGACGGGGGGTGACACACACACACATAGCCGTATCGACGCTTGGTGGGAAGAAAAGAAGTTAAGGGAAGCCCAAAAGTGGGAGGGAGGAACAGTAGTGTGCCCTAGATGGAGTACATGCAGGACATGTAAAACATGCAGCGCCCCGTAGAAACAGCTGGTTGTTATGCAGCAGACTTTTTCGTAGTGCGGCGGGACATTGCTGAGGCGAGTAGCTTTTTGCTACGCAGAGGTCAACGAGGGAGGACGATGGATGTCGGGCAGGTGTAGTTAACGGATGGTGTGGATGGTCGGATCCTCGACTGGAGTCCAGTACGTCGTAGGCGGCAGCAGCTGGGTCCAGAAGTGATCTCGGATTTGCCAGAGGGATGTAGAAGTTGGTAGGTGATGTGTCGTTCGGCTGTGTTGATGTAAAGCCCGAGAAGATGGTCATCGTCAACAGGTTGAAGTTCCACGGGGTGTCCGCCCGTAGACTGTGGTGTTGGCAAGTGTCGTGAGGGCGACGTGGGTTGCAAAAAGGCCCTTGCATAGGACCATGGGATAAACCGATTGTCACCGCAGTGTGTGGAGAGAAAGGTGAGAGATGGCTGCTGGAGGAAAGTTTGGCGTACTTCACTCCACGCCATAAGATGCAGGTGACAGCTGGGAGCAGATCCTTGCCCTTCTGATCCGTTCTTGGAGCGCAACAAGCAAAGTGTGTGTTTGTGTTGAATGGGGGTCGCCAGAACAACGTGGTGTCCGTCCACGCTCTTGCGACCCTCCCCCCCACGCAGACACACGCTCAAGATTATGCGTACTGATTTGAAAGCGGTTGCCACACGCCGGCCTAGCTAACCATTTCCTAAGAGTACAGGTGAAAAACCTGAAAGGAAGTGGAGGTCCATCAAGTTTCAGGTGGCCATCAAATCCAAAAGAAAGCACCGATGG